GTTAGTACTCAGCGTATTTATGAAATATGGAACAATAGTGAACGTCTCCAACAAGGGCTTATTTTATCTTCCTCTGATCAGCCTACTTTGGATAAAAATTTCCAAATTGATAAGACAGAACAGACTCTTGAAGTAGTATCAGAAGTATCCCTTCCAGCTACAGAGATTCCAAAAAAGAATGGTTGAAAAAGAAAGGTTAAAATAGATGAGAAGCCAGTTATTGAAGCAACCAGTATAGTGGAAAAAAATAACAAAAATGATGTGATCTCTCCCTCTGATAATCTGTCTGATACATTCTGAAAAGCTAGGGTAGAATTTCTTCTTAAAAATCTAGTTAATCGTGGTAAAAAGCTTAAGGGTTTAACAGCTAATATCACCCTTATATAAAGATTTACATATATCAGCAAGAAATTTACCAGTACTTAAGGCCAAATAGACCATTTCTTCAGCTTTTACAAGACGTTTTTCAAGCTTTACACAGTTTACGCACTTTTTTTTAAGTCCTTCTCACTAGTTGGACTAGAGGAGTTGGTAGATGCTTGGTCTTGCTTCTCTTTAGGTGGATCTTTAACTTCTGGAACTTTACTAAAGTTGGAATAATGTAAGTTTTCCCATGTAACTTCATTCAAAATTGATTTTTATTTGGGTCAAGGACATCTTGAACTTTCTTAACCATGTCATACTTAAACATAACATTAGTTCAGGTTCTCCATTATCAATATGAGTAAAATTTCCAGTAGCTGTGACAGTTTTACCATCCTTATCCTTTATACTGATTGGTTCATTTGTAAACCATCCCAATGATTCAGTAATGTGTTTGGAGTTACCTTTTATTGCAAAGTCAGATGGCTTATCAGCTTTCCATTCAAGGGCATTAATTGTTGTATCATTCGCTCCTCCGAACTCACTCGAACTATCTAAAAAAGAATTAGAGATCGTTAAATCATCTATTTTAGCATTCAGATATTGTAATAATGAAAATCACTCATCTGATTTTGATTCTTTCTCCTGAACTATATGAGACTGACACATTTTTTGCATTGCCGATGAAAGTTTTGGAAATAATTCATCATATGTTTTCGGCTGGCTGGACTCTAGAGCTAACTTATCATTTAGTGGTAGTTGTTTTTTTTTCAGGTGTATAATACCACGCATTTTCTACTTTATCATAACCATCTTCCTTATTATCAGAATCTGGAGGCGTGTATTGGGACTGTATAAGTGAAAGTTGAGGATAATAATGCTGGGTAAAATTTGATTTATCTACAGGATTTGCTGAAGATGCGAAAGCTAATCTAGGACAGTTATTTTTCTTATGCCCTTCCTGTTCACAATTACTACAATAAAAAGGCTTTCGAGATTGATAATTAAGTGATATTCTTTCTAATTGATTACTTAATTGACCTATAGAATCTGCAACACTACCTACAGTGTTCACAACTTTACCTACTATACTTTTCAATCTATCTATTCTTGCTGAACGTAATTTTTCTGGTTTATGTGATACAGGAGGTCCATCAAAAGGATTATTACTTTCATATGGATCGAGTAATTGCTCCATGTTTTTAGAAGAAATCAGTGGAAGGGTTTTCTTGCTTTACGCTTGCTGAGCCATTTGAGATTCTAATTCAGTAATTTTCTTTACTAATACCTGGTTTTCAGTTTTTTGCTGTGCCTGTGCGTCTTGAAATATTTTTTGTATATCTGCCAAGGAAATCTCTTGCTGTTAAGATACGTTATTGGAAATAGCAGGAGGGGCTAGTATATAATTAAGATACAATGGCAGTGGCCCTAATACTTCACGATGTAATTCAAGTTCTGCTAAACTGTCAAGAATATCATTAATAGCCCTGTATTGACCAATCCTATAAATTTTCTCCTTTATATCATCTCTTACTCCAGACATAAATTGTGTTTTCTTTTGCGCTAGAGTATAACCCAATTGATCTCCATACTTTAGTATTTTTGCCCAATAAGAGGATACACTTTCATACGCTCCTTGTTTTAATGCCCTAATTTCAAACATTCTCAAATATCTATCAGTAGATGGAAAATGATTTTTAATATAATTCAACCTTTGTTCAGATCGGATTCCTGCAAGAATAATAGGAACACCTCCTCCAGCATTTGGTGCAACTGGTATTGCATTGGTTGGTCGTCTTCCAGCTATCGTTCAATCTTCATCAAGTCCTCGAACTGGAATAATATCTACACCTGCAAGACCTAATGGAACATTTGAAAAAGATGCGACAGCTCTTGTTATAGCCCCCGCATTAGCATCACGAATATGAGCTATAGTAGCACCTATACCAGAGTTATCAAATACATTTTGTAACTCCCAGTTTTTATTTTTAAACTCTCTTCTGTACTACTCTCGCACTTCTCCATTTACTGATCGGTCTAATATATTGCGAATTCTTGCCTTATCATTTAGACCTGCTAAATGGATATACGTTATAAAATTATCTCCAAACTTTTTATGATCCTATTCAAAACTGCTTAATTCAGGTATTACAAATCCCACAGGTAAAGCTATGTTTATTTGATTTGGTGGATTATTCTGTAACGCCAAAATTTGTTCCCATAAATTTAAAATATTCTGCTGAGCATCATGGGTCTTATTCTTCCATTTCTCATATCACTCATAGAGCCTATCTCGATTATACTCTAATAAACCTATATTCTCTCTACATCGCTATAGGTAGTAGACATTTCGCTGATATAGTAGTTGTAAGGCAAATTTTTCCTATAGTAATACACCAATACGGGTTCGCTTCCCTGTTATATTGCCTAATATTCTATTTACTTGACTTTAGGCATTAGCCCATAACTGTTAAAGATCACTAATAACTCTATCTGTCACTCCTTCAGCAAGATCTTTTCACGTAATAGCAAGATCTCGCTCAGCCTCTGCATTATAGCGCTTTCTTTACTCACGGACTAAATCCTGATGCAAATTATTCTCATTTTAGCGCATCTGCCTTGTTGCCCTTTTTATTTGATCTGCTAAGATTTCTCTACCCGTTGTTGGATTATCCACATAACCATCTATAGCATTTGCTAGCTCAGTGATTGTGGCCATATTATCATCGGAATTATACAAGTCTGGAGAATTACCCGCTCTGGAGAATTTTTTCGTGATGAGATGGTCCTAATCCTATATCGCAGATTTTCAACCTGCTTCTCAGATTCTACTAACTGCTTTTCTAAGGTAGAGATATACTTTTCTTTATTTCGCACATCCTTCCTAGCTTGATATAGCTGACTTTTTAGGCTAGATATTTCAGATTTTAACTCTACTATCTCTTCTTTCAAAGCATTTTCAAGGCGCTCTATCTTCCTATTGAAATCTTGAATTTCTTGCTCACGCTGGGAATAATTTTGCTCTAACTGATTAATTCGTCTCTCATTCTGACAATTAATATCCACCTCTGTCTGCAATTCATTACGAAGATGAAAGTTCTCTTCCTCCAGCTTAGCTTTATATTCTTCACACGTTCTTCTCTACTTTAGGTGAGGTCTGTGAAATAACATTCTTTTTTTTTGTGATTATAAAAGAAAATAAGAGAGCGTCAAGCTGAAAGACCAGTTATTTATATCAATCCTTAAAAAGCTCGAGACTTAAATCAAATCATAGTAAAACAAACACTTACGATTAATATCAATCCTTAAAAAGCTCATAATTTAGATCAGCATCTTACCTTGCAAAAACTATATTATTATTCTGAAGGTTTGTATCAAAATGTTAAGGATTATGGAATGCTTGTAAAAAAGCTGACTACAGCTTTATTGATATAAAAAAATAGCTTGAAAGCCAAGCAATATATCAAATTTTTTGTCCTTCACCAAAACATATACCTTATGCCAGTTACTCTAAAATCACAAAGCCAAATACTGTGCACTAATATGATTTAATTGAAATTCCATATGATGAAGATGTAGATACAAATTTACTAGATGATGGCGGTGACCCTTCAATATATTACTATGTACTATTGGTTATAGACTGCGTGACTAGATATAAAGATTTCATTTTTTTAACATCAAAGAGCAGTGAGGAAGTTGCGAAAGCATTTAAGAGTATATATGATAATCCTGATAAGCTTTTCAACTGGTCTTGAAAATTACAATGTGATAAGGGTACTAAGTTTATGAGATACGTGACTTTATTAATGGATGAATATGATGTTGAAATTCGAAGGATTATAGCACGTTTCAGACATACAAGTTTGGCTATTCTTGACAATTATGCTGGACATTTTTCTAGAAGAGTTTTTAAAAATCAGTATTTGGTAGAGTTTCTCCTGCCTACTGGTAAGCGCTGTAGAGAATGTAAGCAGTTTGCAAGAAAAATTGTTGATAATATGAATGATAGCCTAACTCAATTGATTGGAATGAGTCCTAATAACGCCACAAAACTTGAGTGAATATATTCCAAACTATCAGTAAAATATAATCGCCTTATAGGTGTTAATGAACTACAACTACCAAAGGGTACTACTATCCGATATTTGCTCACTTCTGAAGAGTGGAAAAATGATCTTTTCAAATAACGCAGAATAACAGATCCAATATGATCTCCTAGCTTGCATAAGATTTGGAGAATTGTTGTTGGAAAAATCCTTTAATGCTTATTTTATATTATTTAGATAAATCAGGGCCTCAACGACCCTTCGTAAGAGAACAGTTAATTTATATTAAGGAAGAACCTATGTTGCCTCTTAGGTGGGTATTAGGAAACAACCAAATGCGTATAAGGCGCTCCTTATAAAAGTTTCTAAGTCTATTACACAGTAGGGTATAGTTATAAGAATTACTCCTTCCCTATAGCATAGCGCCCTCTTTTTCCAATCACGCCAGATTTGTGCGTCTAGATTCATCTGCCCTTGCAGGTGTAAAAAAGGGACAATTTGGTAATGTTAGTTACCATTATATTCAAAGACCAAGCCTAATTCTTCATTATAACCATCTAGATGTAATCCCTTCAAGAATTTAGGCTTTTAGAGTGGAAATTTTTTATGTAATAAATCCTCAAATATATACCGGTATGTTTTTTCCAGTACATTAGAACAAATGGTACACCATTTATAATTCTGTTTTATATTTTTATATAGCACCTCCCATTGATGACCCTTTTTACATGACCATAAATATGTATTAGGACTAACTTTGCCTAAGCATTTTTCTTCACGTCTCTGGGCATATGCTAAAGCTTTAGTATCAATTTTGTCTTGCATTTTATAGGTGCAATAAAATATCACATATAGAAATTTGCGGTAGTGATCGCCAGCTTTAGACTAATTTGATCAGGACAAACAAGTGGGCTCAGCCCAGCATTTTTTTACGCAAGTAGCATGATAAAAGCAAACTTTTCAGTATAGATAAATATAAAGTTTCCAGTATATATACACTAACAAAATCTCAAGTTTAAAATAAAAATTTTATATAATTTTAGACAAATACGCTTGCTGGCAAAATATTAGATCAGTAGTAGTACCCAAAAGTAATTGATGTTGTAGTACCCAAAAGTAATTGATGCAGTAATATCCTAAAGTATCCTGAAGTAGCAACTATACTAGAAAAGATTGTGGAAAAATAGGAACAAAAAATAGAGTATACTTTTGGTAGGACGCCAAGTTAGAATAATATATAGAAAAAAAAATAAAAGTTATAACTTGAAGTCCTACCGGCAATAGGCAGGAAAAAGATCGGGAAGGCAGAAAGGTTCAGGAGAATACACAAAAAAAGGAGCAATATAACCTGAACTAATTTAGCATTTCGCATGTGTCAGACTAGCAGTAATCAGGGATACCCCAAAATAGTAACTATATGAGAAAGGGTTTGAGAAAGGATTCTAGGAACACAGAGGTGAAAATAAGGTATAGATTTGGTAGTATCCCAAGTTAGAATAATATATAGGAAAGAAAATAAGAAATTATAACTTGGGATACTACCGCCAATAGGCAAGAAAGGAATCAGAAAGGCAAAAAAGCTCAGGAATATGCACGAAAAAAGGATATGAAAGCAATATAGCCTGAACTAATTCAGCACTTCGTGCCTCATCTTCAGCAATCACGAAAGGCAGAATTGTAAGAATGGCACAACACTAGCACTTCGCAAAAACTTAACAAAGTATTAATAAATAGGTACACGCAAATTGAACTTTTTTACATGTAATACTCGCATAGATATTACTATGTCCAACATTTACTCTATATTCAATTAAGATGAAATATGATAGAAACACTTACGGAATATGAATATACTTTATAAGATGAATAAGATAAACATTATACTTACTCGTTTTGTAATAATAGTCTAACAACATCTCGTAAAATTATGAAAAGCATTTTAGACGACGGGTTTTGGTCATTCCTGTCGCTGAAATTTTGCATGACTGGCTGTCATTAAAAATAGAGGTAGCAAATTAACCGCGCTATTTGTAATCTTTTTTTTACACCACTTAAGAATGGCATAACATCAGCACTTCGCATATGCCTCATCTGGCAATCAAGAAATGGCGCCACCCTAACCACAACACGATTTTTAGCAAACAATGCTGGTCTAACATCATGGCCACAAAAAGACCGTAGAGCAATAAAAACAAGCAAATATCTACAAAACAATAAAAAGATCACAGAACGTCAAAAACAGTAACTAGGTAACAATATACTCATAACTAGGTAACAATTTACTCATAACTAGGTAATATTATAATTGAACTGGATAACACTCTTATAAAAGTGTTATCCAGTTCATCAACATTTATTATCAATATTATTTATTTGAAATTTAATTTACAAAAAAATTCAAATTTCTAACTCAATTAAAATTTATCAGCATTTATTGTCAATATTATTCATTTGAAATTTAATATTCAAATTTTACGACAAAATTTTTAATTCAATATAATAAAAATTTCTTATTAAATTTTTTTGGGAAATGATCAAAATTTTAATTAGGTTAAAATTGACATTAATTAGAGTTAAACAATAAAAAACAATAGGAATATTAGGGAAATATCAGGTTAAGTTAAGGATAAAATAGGATTTTAATCGGTAATTTTCTGATCATCATATTTTAACCCTTTTAGTTTAATAAATTGCTAATTACCCAAACAGGAACTCAAATTTCTATTACATCTTTTTTTTAATGATAATCTTTTTTTTTAAATTTAAATATTGCAATAATTATTATTTTATTTTTTTTATATTCTTTTACTTTTTTTTGTTGGCTGCTTAATTTCATTGAAAGTTATATTTTAAATGATATTTCATTCTTTTTCATTCTTTTTAATAAATTCAAATAAATTATAAATTGTTTAAGCTAAGCATCTCAAACAATAATTTCAAGAAATAATAAGGAGGAACAAGTAGATAGGAGAGTGATAAAAACCTCTAATCAAACTTTCAAGGTATATATTTTTTTTATTTTATTTATTTTTTTTTTTTTATTTTTAAAATGATCTATTTATGGAAAAATATATGAAGCTTTATATTCTATGTTTTCTTGATATAGAGAATATAACGTAAAGTTCAAATTATTTATAGTCAAGCATTATTATTCAAAAACATAATAGATTTTTTTATTTTTTTTTTATTTTTTAAAATGATCTATTTATAGGAAAATACATAAAGCTTTTGTATCCTATATTTTCTCAGTATAGAAAATATAATGTGAAATCCAAATTATTTATAGTTAAGCATTATTATTCAAAAACATAATAGATTTTTTAAAAATATTTTTTATTTTATAATATTAAATAATAAATTAAATTTAACTAATAATTAACATCTTTAATAATTAGAATACCTTATCTAAAAATTTAATTAAAGAATCAAGAAGATTGTGTAGGAATCTATTTATACAAGAAGATATATGACAATTATCTGATAAAGATTTTCAAAATTATAAATTAGCACAATAAATAATTATATTAAAAGTGAAGCAGATCTTATTTCACCAGTATCTAATGATATTGATAGAGTTATTAACTTAGACATTTTGAAGAATTTAAAAACTTTAGTTTTATGATTAAGGATTTAGAAGAAAGAATCTTAGAATTAACAGCAACACTAACAACAGCAATAACATACTTTACAGAAACTTGATTTTCTTAATACGCAGTAACTGCAAAGTGACTATATAGTAAATATATAGTTACTACCTTACTTAGTAGTAGCTTAATCATAGTTTAATAGGTACTATGCAGTTACTGCATAGTAAGGAAACAAAGTTTCTGTAAAGTAACTACTACTATTAAAACCATTATCAGCAATAACAGAAAATTTGGAAGAATTAATCAAAAAAATTGCAGAATACATTGAAAAAATTATGCCACCTCAATTTTATAATCAATGTTAATTATACCCAAAGATCAATTGCATAAATATAAGCTATATAAAGTAGTTTTACTTGAATATAATGAATATATTCAAGAAACTTGTCAGGTGGTTTATGATATTTCTAATAAACTTTTAATGCATATTTCTTACTCTTATACAAAAAATATCAAGAGGAAGAATAGAAATTTATTTTCTTCTTTTAAAAATAAATTAAATGAATTATTGCTAAAATATGCAGAAGAATTTGAGTTTGTAGAGAATAGTCAGAAAAAGCAACTCCCTACCATTACCACCATCATCATTAGCAGCAGTAGCAATAAAGTAAAGAGGAGCAAGATGATTACTACTACCACCACTATTAGCAGTACAGCAAAGTAAAAAAGAGCAAGACGACCATCACCACTACCATCAGTAACAATAATAATAACAACAAAATAAAAAATAATTAAAAACTTCAAATAGAAAAAAAATTCATTATATGAAACGAAAATTATTTAAATATCAGGAATTTAAAAAAGAAAATCCTGATAATAAGGAGTTAGATTTAAAGGAATATCCTCTGGTTAAAATTAAGATTGGATCAAAAAATAAAGATTTTAGAAGTGTGGATTCCTTTTTTATACATTATAACATGCAAAATTTTAAAATAATTGAAGATAATATTTTGTTAAATTCATTTGATTTATAATTTTATTATTCTCATTTTAAAATTAATTTTAATACAATAAATTTATTATATAGGAAATTATCATTGTATAGGTGAAAATGGTGAAATGTTATTTTAATTATTCAAAATATTTAAAGAAAAGATGGATTTAATTATGAATGCAGATAGCGCAATTCAATCATATTAAATTCATATACATAATAATCTATCTAATGCTCCTCCAAAATTTAAGGGATTTAATTATTTATCTTCAGATATTTTATCAGATATTTTTTTTTTTTGCGTAAGAATTTAAAGAAATTTAAATTTTCTTTATTAATAATAAGTAGAAATAATATCAACATCATCATCAGAAACAATACCAACAATAATATTAATAGCATCAGCAACAGCATCACTATCACTACTATCACTATCTAAAACAGCAACAGCATTATCTTCAGTCATAAGAATCCAGCCATTTACATAATATTTTAGAATTTTTTGTAATAATAATAAAGTAGTTTATCAATTCTAAGATTATGTTTGTGAAAATAAAAGGGCAAATATAAAGAAGATTACCTAAATCATTTATAGTGTGTAATTAATTTTTTTTATTATTTGTTTAATATTATTACTTTGATATTATTGATTTTAATATATATTTAATTTAATAGTTGTGTTGACGAAATGCTATATGATATCAATAAATTAGCAGATTATATTTTAGATATAATGGAATTTTATTATCTATTAATATTTAATAATTTAAGTAATCTTTGTTTTTCAGATCAGATAATTATTTAATTTAAAAATCATTATTTTTAATAAACTTTATTTTTATTTATGCTTATTTTATTTTATTATATATAGGTAAAAAAATTGTTTAAGATATTTTGAATATATGCAATAAATTTTAATACTATTTGTGGCTATTATATTGATTATGATAATGATAAATATGAATTTTATTGGCTTATACCATTAGGAGATTGGGAAGGTGATGATGTAATATTTTTACAACTCAATATAAGAGTAAAATTGAAATCTAGAAATATTTTAACATTTAGATCAAATTTACTTGTATATGGTAATCTTCTATATTTTGATGTTAGGCATTTATTGGTATTTTTTACACATAATAATTTGTTTTCAGAGACCTTTGTAAATGTAAAAAATACAAATTCTTTTGAGAAAAATAAACAAAAGAAAAAGAAAAAAAAATCAAATTAATTTAATAATTGAA